AGAGAGAGAGAGAGAGAGAGAGAGAGAGAGAGAGTCGAACAGCAACGGTTGCTGAAGGTGAGACTGTCAAACTCTGTTACTGATACTTCAAATTATAAAAAAAGCAGCACAATATGTGTCAGAAACAGTGTAAAAACAAAGCGGGTTATTTATTCCTCCCTCAACCCCGTGACTCACGACAAAGTCACCGTAGATCTATTTATATTATATTATAATTATTGAGCGCGGTGTAAGGTGTCTCGACACACACGTACGATCACTCTACAACCGGCACGTACGTTGACAAAAAGATAGAGATGGGTAAAAAAAATAATAATTAAAAGGAGAGTTACGTATTTGAATAATTGTTTCACTTGTATTGACTGCAGTCTATTTTTTTAAATGTCTCGAGGAACGTTCGTTCTAAAAGTGACTTCGAAACTATGGTCTAACTTCTTGGGAAATTTTACAACCAAAGTATGTTCAAAACTATTGTCTAATGTTTTTAGAGGCTTTCTATCCCATGTCGTATTTTTTAAACAATGGTCTAACAGTTTTGGAGACGTTCTGTTCAAGGGGTGTCAGAAACGATGGTCTAACGTCTTAAGAAATTTTCTGACAAAAGTGTCTTCGAAATCACGGTCTAATGTTTTTAGAGGCTCTGTGAAACAAGTGTCTCCTAAACGATGGTCTAAAGTTTATGGAGACATTCTATTCAAAGCGTGTTCGAAACAATGATCTAGTGTTTTGGGAGAAAGTTTAACCAAAGTGTCTCAGAAACGATGGTATAATATTTATGGAGACACTCTATACAAAGTGTCTTTTAAACCAAGGTCAAACGTTTTTGGAGACTTTCCAACCAAAGTGTATCCGAAATATGATGAATATTTCAACTTTTGAAAACCTGATTGTCAGGATCGAATTCGTCTAGAATTTTGAAAAAAAGCTATTGTGTTTTAAGCACTCACTTTGCTTCCCCGTCCTTAATGAATAAACCTACAGATGAATTCGTACATAACAAATGATTCAGTAAATGGAAGCGTAATTAAAATAAGAAATTAAATAGATGTCACGAAAGCAAATGAATAAATAATATAATACATACTAAAAAGAATAACAAATGTGTTGGGTTTTTTTTTCGATTGACACATGGCAACCAAATTCTCTATGTCGGTTCATATCAGTAGGTAAGGAAAAAAAACACACCTATAACCTGTAATCTTAATCTTGAAAAAGGAAGGGTACAGCTCCTAAGTGATTTTGTTTGAGGAAGAAAGGGAAGGGAAGGGACGGGGTGGAGGTGAAGAGGTTTGGGGGGGGGGGGGTGTCATAATAAAAACAGAAACTTTGGAAACTCCTAAAATAAGATCTTACTACCTTATAGTTAGATGTCATGGACAAAGGATATAGTATTTAAATGAACAACAACAACATGCCAAATCCAATATAATAATAATTATATTATTATGAAGGGTATCATCAGTGAACAAATGCAAAAATCTACAGGGTTTTTCAGCAAAGAAAAAGTCAAACGGGTATATGGGTGGGAGGCGGCAGCGGTATAAATAATGTCGGGTGAGTGAAGCGGGCGGCTGGTGGGTGGCTCAACTTTACTCAGGCTTTGACTGGAGGCTGACTCAAGGGTTGGGATGATTTGGGGGGGGGGGGGGGATACCATTATGATGTTTAGAGCTATCTATATCTTTCTTCTTCTTCTTCTTCTTCTTCTTCTTCTTCTTCTTCTTCTTCTTCTTCTTCTTCTTCTTCTTCTTCTTCTTCTTCTTCTTCTTCTTCTTCTTCTTCTTCTTCCCTCCAACCTTCGTTTTCCTTCCCTTTTCTATTATTCCACATTCACTCTACGCAATATGTCTTATCAGTGTATATTTCCTTGTCAATCCCTCCTCTTCCTCCAGAAATTAACAAAGCAATAATTACCTAAGAAATCGTACACATTAAAGTGATATATTTTTGCGCTCTTCCCCCCCCCCTCCCTCCCTCTACAGATTGTTATATTTTTGCCGTTCCTGCAGCTTCTCTCTCTCTCTCTCTCTCTCTCTCTCTCTCTCTCTTTCTCTCTCTACTAGTGCTTGCTCGAACTTACCCTACACGAAATGTCCCCCACCCCCGAAAAACGATCTCAGGGAACCCGGAACCCCTCTTGTCAGCCTCACGTCCTCATGCAAGCCCTCTACCACTCCACCACCAAGCCAGGCAAAGCATCGCTAGGACCGGTCACGTGTTATGGCCAACAGCCGCGTCACTCGGGCCTTTGTGACGTCATTGAGGTGACCCCTCTTGGTTACCTTCTTCCGCCCTCTTTTCGTCACCGTGATGAAAGACGCCCTGCTATAACTTCTGGTGCTGAGAACTGACGCGGGCCGAGGGGGCGGAGCTTGCTGGAGGGGGAGGGACAAAGGATCACCAGGGGGCGTGGCTAGCAACGCCCCTCCCTCCGAGGCCGACAAATCAAAGGTGAGTTGGTCCTGTGTCCAGAGTTATGTGAGCCAGGGGCGTCAGTCAAACAGTTGAGGTTGGGAACACAAACTATCTTCTGTTTTAGTTTTAGTACCGGTTTTACAGCACTTGCGACACAATAAGGTCACATATGTGCCGGACATTAGAGGTGTTACAAGAGAGTAACAAACAAACAAAAAGAAGGAGGCGAGATAAAGACGATAGTTGTTTGATAGGAAAGAAGGAGCAAACCACACCAGAGCACCCGCCAACCACCCACAAACTATTTTCTTCTACCCCAGAACCAGAGAGGGGCAGAAAAAAACAACCAACAATAATTAAATTAACAAACATTAACATTTAAAACTACATAACAGGAAGACCAATCAGGCAAACTATAGACTTAGCATAAAACAAAATATGCATTCATTTCATACGGATATTGAAAAAGATATTTTAAAAAAACAAAAACTGTACAAAAAAATCTGGAGAACAGTAAGCATTGGTGAAAATGTGCAAATACATTCTAAGCTTACACTACATGGAAGGTAAACGATATAGACATAATTTAAAGACGGAAACACAAGATTTCATTGGACAATACAGGTTGGTCAGTCATTTACAGTAATCAGAGGTTCGATGAGCTAGATAGTTCTGTCACTAAAAAAAACCCACACACCCTTCACCGGTCGACCTCAAAGGTCTGTGAATGAAGCTGCTGTTATTTCATCTATAGATCTGAATTAGTACACGAAACACAAACAAGAAGTTTCCATAATTATCTTTACGATTCCCAAAACAGCAGCAAATACAAAAAAAAAGTTTAATATCCAAGCGAAATGCAAGCATTGTTAGAACCATACGTCAGCTACACAAACAAAGTACCCTTGAAGAGTGGAGAGTTCCGAAGTCTTCTGGACAATAAAAATTATGTTCCCTTTTTTCTATTTTTTCCAGTTTTGACGTGATACCAGAGACCTAATTGACGAAGCTAGGTCACTGGGGATACCATGAATGTATACTTTGGTTCCTGCACAGTTCCTGGTCTGAGTGACACAGATGGCGATGTAGTTAAAGGATGAATGATGACCTGTTCGTAGATTGACGTGGCATTTTCTTTCCACGTTGTCAGAGAGCTTTAAAAATATTAGCAGAGACATAATAAATGATGGTCTTTTTGCTCAAACCTGCCTGAGTAAAAGGTAAAAACTCAGCAGAAACCTCAACTCCGACACGATCTGCATATCGCCCAAGAACACGCAGACGAAATAGTCATTTTGTAAAACATTAATCCACAACTGTGTAACTTTAGTAAGATTCCCATCTCATAGAAGTGCGAAAATATTTTCCAAAAATGTTAATGGTGTTATCCAAACACATAAAGGCGTCATTTTTCAAGCATTTTAGCCACATCAAGAGTTATACCGCGAACAGGCAAACAGCCAACAGAATCTCCCCCCCCCCCCTTTCAGAAGTACGGTCTAATTATTGAGTCTTAGAAGGAGATATTGGTCCAACTCTAGGCGGGGATAACAAAAAACTCTACGGGAGCTTGGAAGATCTGAGACGAGCAGCAGCTTTTGCACTAGAGACTAGTATGTCCGTCTAAATATAATAAATACAAATAGTATTTGCATAGCCCATACACCCGCTCGAAAGAAAGCTCTATGCGCTTTACACAATATTATTACCCCGGCAGACCATAGAACACTCAGAAACATTCTCAGCTTCCCGGGAAGCATACAGTGCAAGCTGTTAAATCGCTCAAACACTAACAAACTGACAAGATCGTTCACTGTCTCTAACTGGGTACCCATTCCCACCTGGGTGAAGTGAAGAAAATTCGTGTAAACTGCCTTTCCCAAGGACACAACGTCGGGTCCCTGACGAGATTCGAACCCACGACCTTACGGTTACCAGTCTGAGAACGTAACCTCTAGGCCACTGACGAGAAGAGGATATGAAGGGGAAAATGTATTGCATTGAGCCTTCAACTTTAGAAGAACAGATGTGCGCGAGTTTCTCATATCATGAAGCGCCTCTGATAATTTGAAAGGGGAATGTGATGTCTTCGGTGTTATTCTGCTTAACTAATGTAGAAAGCATAAACAAAACCTTTGTCCAGCAGTTTAAAACGACTGTCACGAGCATGCCAAATATTTCATGGACCAGGATTGGATACAGTTGTACAGCGTAGTGGAAGGCTGCGGTAATATTCTCTTCGAGACTCAAGGGGTGAACTGGGCTGCAAAACAGTTTTTTTTACGAACATTGCTTTAACAACCGGAATGCAGTTAAATCAAAGTGGTTAGCAAAGTTCTTATAGGCGGTTCAGTCTTTAAAAACTCAAAGTCAACAAATAAATTATATCAACTATATCATAGCAAGGGTATTCGATCAGCAAAATCAAACAAACAAACACATAAGCAAACAAACATACGCACACGCAAGCAAACCCTGCCAACACCCCCCCCCCCCAAAAAAAAAAAAGCAGTGAAGCATTTTCATCTTTATAACGGTCATACCAACACAAATTACTTGCCGTAAACACTCGCCTATAACACAAAATCGCGCATAATACGGGGTTGGGGGGGGGGGCGAGGGGGGATTTGACTTTTGACAGCAATATTGGCAAATGTTTGCAGGTCGAGCGTATGATATATGGTGGTGAATTTCTGACAGGCTGGGAGGTTGGGGAACAACATACTTTTAGACCTTTTTTAGGGGGGGGGGGTCGCTTGTATTATAGGCGAGCATATTATTAAACAAGACTTTAAAAAAAAAAACAACTGGTCCCGAATAGAGCACTCCGACACCTGCCGTCATCTCTAATCATCTAAGAACGGTAACTGCGGGTTTTATCTTTATAAAAGGTGAAAATAATCTATAGTTATCTTCTCGTGGGATATATTCTTGGAAGTCTTGGGCTGTTGAGGAAAACATCAAAGCTGACAGCTAAGGGCTGTACGCTAATGTATTCCAGTTAAAAGTTACATGCACAAATTGTATGACGTCTAACAGCTGCACGTGAAAATGCATTACAGCTAAACGTTGTATGCAATAAATAAACAAATGAGTAAACGCATAAATAAATTTTAAAAATAAAAATAAAAAATAAATATATAAGTACATAAATTGATTTTTAAAAATCACATCACAGCTGAAAGAGGAGCACAAACAATATATCCCCTCATTCAATCATCTGTTCTGTATAGTGAAAACAACCCTATACGGCACCCAGAATGCGGAGTTACCGTTCTTAGACGTCAGAGTCTCTTCCAATACCGCAACTAAAGCCCCACCACAAAAACGCTATTATATAATCGTATTTTACAGAACGTCTAATACAAAACAAAAATATTATTGTGGAATCGTATTTTCACAAAAGGCGCCACACAAGAACGTCATTACAGAATCGCATTTTACAAAATGACTAACACAAAACCGTATTTGTGTCATGAGTCATGATTTCGGGCAGAAAGCGTTACCAATTCACCAAAAAGCCTTCACTCCATCCATCCAAGCATCAAACAATATGTTATAGATAGTAGGTAGGTAGGTAGAGAAGTCACACAGACCACACACCACGTCATCCGATGTACCTGACGACCTCTGCCAAGTCTAGACGAGCCGCCATCTCCCGCCGACATCTCATCCGCCTCAGAAATAGTCCCAAACAGAACCCGTCGCCTGGAGGCTTTGGAGCGCCTCCCGCGACCCCTACTCTTCCCGCTAGACGTGACGTCAGCTGATGACGTATTACTCTCGCTAGTTCCGCTTCCGGCTCTCGTGGCGTCGGGGCCGTTTCCGATAGGAGGGAGAGGTTTTGTCTTGGCAAACTTGCCCGTCTGCCCGCCCTCGAGGACACTGACGCGAACGGAGGAAAACTCCAACTCGCGGACTTTGTCTTGAGAATTTTTCTCTTTGTCCTTACTCTCTTTTTTCTCTTTGTCCTTGTCCTTCCCGTCTCTGTCTGTCTTGTCCTCCTTTACACATAAGCAGAACATTATCTCTCTGCACTGATCATGATGAACTTCTTTGTGTAGCTACAGAACTACGCTGAACATATATATATATATATATATATATATATATATATATATATATATACCTTCATACATAAGCATAACATTATCTCTCTGCACTAATCATGACAAACCTCTCCTTGTAGCCCTAGAACTATGAACAACGTATAGATCTTCATACAGTAGCATACAATTACACGTAAGTTCCTGCAATTGATCACGACGGATTCCTTTGTATAGCCATAGAACTATACTTAACATATATAGATCTTCATGCAATAGCATACAATCACAAATACATTCCTGCAATGTATCGCAATGAATTTCTTTGAGTAGCCATAGAGCTACGAACAACATATAGATTTTCACACAATAGCATACAATAAATGTACGCTCCTGCAATAATATATCGTGATGAATCTGTTTGTGTACCAAAGAGCTGTGCACAACATATAGATCTCCATACAAGAGCATGCAATGACACATAAGTTCCTGCAATGTATCGTGATGGATCTGTATGTGTAACCTGAGACCGACTTACAACATATAGATCATCGCACAATAGCATACAATTCTGTTCCTGCATCTATCACATGTTATTTGTGTAGCCATAAAGCTTTGGACAACAGATAGATCTTCAAAAATAGAATGCAATTCTGTTCCTGCAAGTTATCACGACGAATCTCTTTGTGTAACTAAAGAGCTGTACACAAGATAAAGGCCTTCAAACATAGGTATATAATCATATCCCTGAACTAGTCAAGAAAAATCTCTTTGTGCTATGCACATAATACAGGTCTTCATGCAAGAGCATATAACTATGTTCCTGCAATATGATAATACGACATTACTCTTTGTATTGGTAAGAGCTATGCACAACATAATATTATAGATCTACATAAAACCCATCTACATGACCGGATTAAGAACAAACAATACTACTTGAATAATGACCACAGCACCCCAAGACAATTTCTACATAGATCTAAAACGCTGCGGTATTCCAGTCTCTGAGGTTGACACAATTGACTGGTTTGGGAGTCAAGATTGTTGTTGAGATGATTCTGAAACACCGACAGGGCTAGAGAAACCATACACAGAAAGTACACTACCGTCAGAATCCAGTCTAACCTTCATCAACACACACAAAAAACCGCGATAAGAAAATACCCCCCGCCCGCTACCCCAACCAAGAAAAAAAGTTTGCAGTTTTCATTGCCTAAAACAATCGAAAGACTTGTCAAATCAAAACTACTGAAGTGCAACTTACAAAAACTGTGAGAAAATAAATGAGACGGTGGAAGAATTCCTGAAAAGCAATGAGAAGATTAACTTGCGAACGAAACTAGGGGAAAAAAGGCTGAGGAACAAAAGTGGAGGCTCGTGATGGAAACCCAGACACAAGATCTACTGAGTCATGTCAAGATGAGTGTGTGTAAGTGTGTGTGTGTGTGTGTGTGTGTGTGTGTGTGAGTGTGTGTGTGTGTGTGTGTGTGTGTGTGTGTGTGTGTGTGTGTGTGTGTGTTTGTGTATGCATGAGTATGTGTCTGTGAGTCTGTGCGTGAGACTATGATGTATAAGTTGCAGTTTCTCATTACTTCAATATTAATAATTTCTCACGAACCTTCTTGCAATAACAGAACATATTGGTTTTCTCAGCTGTACCATTGTGAGGATTATCTTCTGAAGTCTTCATAAGTCTGATCTCAAAGAATAATCTAATTAATTATCTGCTTATAAAGACATATTTCCTCGCAAGGAAAGACATTTCCAGTTAAAAAGTCATTATAATTGTAAGTTTTTACTTTCGGAGCGATTTGCGAGGCGAGACACTGAGTGTGTGTGTAACTGTTCTGACAGGAGAAAGAAATCCACTGAAAAAAAGAAAAGTGCCCATTGTTGTGCTAAAAGTGCAATGGTTAAAAAAAGACACAAAATAATGAAACAACAAAAAAAGTTGACAACATTCATAGTGGGATCTAAACTTGTTTAAAATTAAAACAAACAATAACAATGAAACTAATCGAAGTACTTTGCTCATACCACTGCAAAAAATGTGCTCAACACAGTTAATAAATCAGAGAAATACAACACAGCTCCCACCCCCACCAAAAAACACAAAAAACCACACCTAAAAAAACAAAACCCAAAGTTCTACTCAATAGATTGTCTCCACCAAGGAGAGCGTTATACATGGAGGTAGCAGCAGCAGCAGAGAGAGAGAGAGAGAGAGAGAGAGAGAGAGAGAGAGAGGGAGAGAGAGAGAGACAGAGAGAGAGAGAGAGAGAGAGAGGGAGAGAGAGAGAGAGAGAGAGAGAGAGAGAGAGAGAGAGAAAGGGAGGGAGAGAAAGACAGACAGACAGACAGACAGACAGACAGACAGACAGACAGACAGACAGACAGACAGACAGACAGACAGACAGACAGACAGACAGACAGACCGACAGACAGACACACAGACAAACAGACAGAGAGCGTATGTGTACAGAGAATATAAAGAGTCGTGTATTGTCTTCCCTACCTTGCCACGTGACTTCCGCTTGTTCCAGCCAGACATCATGGCCTGGTCATTGCCCATCCTCATGGCCAGCTCGGACTGGGACATGGTGGCCAGGTCACGTGGGTCCATGTTGAACTCCTCGGCTTGTTTCTGAGCACGACAAAGTTACATGTTGGTGAGGACAGAGAAGGGATATTGTTCATGTTCGCTGACATTGCCTGAAATTTTATGAAAATTTAGTTTGTATTATAGTTGGGTTTTTTTTATTGTTTTTTTAAAAAGAAAATCCCATCAATCAACTGCAGCTTCGTTTGGTCACGAATATACGTTATCATTGCCGCTTACGAAAGATGAACGAAACATACAGCGACATACGTTGCATCAGAGACATACAGTGACGCAAAGTTACACTAGTGACACAATAACACATTGACATATCATTACAACACTTACATTCAGTGATATACCGTTACACAAATGACCTAGTAAGATACCCGTAAAATACTGACATATAATGATATTCCGTTAAATAAATGACACTGTGAGATATCCTTAAACAAATGACACATTGAGATACCCGCAAAACACAGACACACACTGGCATACCGTTACACAACATGACATAGTGAAATACCCTTACACCAGATACATAAAACGACATACCGTAATGAAGTCCTTAAAGATCTCCTCCACACGAGGCAGGACACTCCTCTGTATTTCCCTCAACAACGGCGTCTTGGGTCTGTCCTTTTCCTGGGCCACTCGGGCCGCCACCTTCTCTGGCAGTGTTGTGTGTCTCTTGCCTTGGGGGTCTAGGTACGTTCTGGGAGAAGGAGAGGGTGGAGAGGGGCATGTAAGAGCAGGATAAATGTTAGTGTATTATGATGGGGTTTTGTTGGCATTGATGATGATGTTGTTTTTGTTGTTATTGCTGTTGCTGTTGTTGTTGTTGTTGTTGTTGTTGTTGTTGTTGTTGTTTCTGTTGTTGTAATTGTTGTTGTTGTTGTTATCTGGTTGTTGTAGTTGTTGTTGTTGTTATTGCTATTGGTGTTGTCCGGTTGTTGTTGTTGTTGTTGTTGTTGTTGTCGTTGTGGTTGTTGTTGTTGTTGTTGTTGTTGTTATTGTTGTTGTTGTTGTTGTTCATCATCATCATCATCATCATCATCATCATCATCATCATCATCATCATCATCATCATCATTTCTTATCACCAAGGCACAGAGTGACAGTGGGTGGTTCGCGGGTGCTCTGGTGTGGTTTGCTTCTTCTTTCACATCAAACATATATCGTCCTTATCTCTCTTCCCTCTTTTTCATGTTTGTTACTCTCTTGTAGCACTTCTAATCTTCGGTACTTATAATATGACCTTATTGTGTTGCAAGTGCCGCAAAACTCTTACTAAAACTAAAAACAGAGTGACATTGACTCACTTGTAAATGGTGGCGGCCGCGGCGTCTTTCTTGACCTTGCTCTCCTTAGTGCTGAAGTAGGTCTCTATGTCGCTGTACAGCTGGATGCTGGAGTGGACGTCTTTGTTCTCCGCCTCAGACACGAACTTGCGGAACATGGACATGATTCTGGGACAGAGCGCAAGGGTGGG